AGTGGGAATAGAAGGAGCATTTCTCAACACCATAAAGGCCATATATGAGAGACCTACAGCCAACATCATACTCAATGGGCAAAAACTAAAGTCTTTTCCACTAAGATCAGGAACAAGACAAGGTTGTCCACTTTCACCACTTTTATTCAATATAGTATTGGAAGTTTTAGCCACAGCGATCAGACAAGAAAAGGAAATAAAAGGCATCCAAATCGGAAAGGAGAAAACAAAACTGTCATTGTTTGCAGACGACATGATAGTGTACCCAGAAAATCCTATAGACTCTGCTAAAAAACTGCCCGACCTAATAAACAAATTTGGCAAAACTGAGGGATACAAAGTCAATATCCAGAAATCAAAGGCATTTTTGTATACCAACAATGAAACAGCAGAAGCAGAAATCAAGAAAAAAAAATCCTATTCAATATAGTTGGTTTGATTTAAGTGCTTATTGAACACATGTTGGGCACCTATAGTGTGAACAATTGGAGCTCTGGGCTTGCTGGGAGCCTGTGGCTTTGGAATCGGTGACAACAGCACCACCCATGTGCCACCAACGCTAGCAGTGCTCCTACTGGTAACTGCTGTGTATTCAGCACAACGTACAATATTAGGCACTATGCTTAGCACTCTGCAAATACCATCTCATTTAACCTCCATGAGAACTTCGTGAGATGGCATTATGATCCAGATTTTAAAGTTGAAGCAAGTGAGAAGAGAGATGTCTAACCCCTGGAGATACTCTCCAAGTTCAGCCAACTAGAAAATGTCAGAATCCAGATTGGAACCCAGCTGCCTGTTTTCTAAATTCATGCTCTAACCACCAATCCACATATCTTCCCTAAAGCTTGTTTTAGATCCTCCTCTGCTGCTCTTTCACAGAAGTCCTAGTTGCTTCCTACCAGACCTCAGGGCTCTGGACACTTACTTGACTTCTTATTCTTTCTGCTCTGTCTGGTTTGCCTGACAAATTCCGTGTGGAAGACAGAGCAGGGTGAAAAGAGCAGGCAAGAGAGATCTTCCCGCAGAGCTTTGGGTGAACAGCGTTACGTAGGTGGGTGATGGAGGCAGATAATGGGAGAAAAGTATGAGAGAGTGCATGTCTGTGTGTCTAAGAGATTTTGTTTTCACTGATTTAGTCATACGGGTAAAACAATTTAGTATAGTAATCAAATCTCTTTCTCAGGCTTTTAAAATGAAAACATTTTCTTCCTTAGTGATTTAAGGCCTGAGCATATATAAAAACAAAGGACTCCCTGCTCCTCCACACCCTCTGGGAGCCTGATCTAGGCTTGCCTCTGAGTAAACAAGACTACCACTTCATTCCAGTAATCTATCGTTGCATAACTACTTCCAAACAGATAACACACGTTATCTCTCAGGGTTCTGTGGGCTGACTGGGCTGACGGAGCAGTTCCCACTCAGAGCCTTTCAGACAGCTGAAGTCAGTGGCTGGGCCTTAAGGCTTCTTCCCTGGAGCCTATATGCAAATGGCTGAACAATCTGGGGCAGGTTGGGCTTCTCTGTGTGGAGCCTCTCCACCTAGCTATCCTGAGGTTTCCCACAGCATGGTGGTCTCAGAGAAATTAGCAGTCATGCCCTGGGGCTGGCTTGTTTCAACATGTAAGAGCTGATTCTGTGTACTTCTTTCCACCCCTGCATTCAATGCTCTTGCTTTAGTAGCTTGAAATTGGTCATGGTGGAAGGGAGTATTTTTACCATGAAAACAAGCAAACACTGCAAATCAGGGCTTTTTCCTTCCCCGCCAGAGAACCAGGTTCCCAGCTAATGAGTTCACATGGTGTTTGGCTTCCCCTAGAGCGAGTGGGCCAAGAAACCCAAGAGAAAGATGCACAGCTTCTTAGAACCTAGCCATGGGTATCACTTTCTTCTTAGTCCATTGGCCAAACAAGTCCCTAAAGGTAGCCCCAATTCATGAGAAAGAGAACTACCACCATGTCCTGTGGAAGGGTAGCAAAGAAATTGTATAGTAGAGGACATGGTACAGAGTAGGTACTCAATAAATACTTGGTAAATGAATGAATGAGTAAAATCACTGAAACACTAATCTGTATGTCCTTAAATCACTCTAAAAGTATAAAGCTTTGGGGGAGGTTTTATTTCAACATCAGAGAGGTCAATGAATTTTAAGTCCTCAAAAATCCTAAATCTAAAAATTGCTTGATATAGATATATTTACACTCTGTCTGCGGGTATACACAAGTCTATTTATTCAAGCGCTCCCTGCTTATGTACTATACACACAACCACTGCAGAATTCTTGTTTTATAGATGCTTTTATACTTTTTAGGTTTGCTTTACTTCTCTAAGTAAACTGCAGATTCCTTAAGAGAGTTCTCACATATTGGGTTGGCCAAAAAGTTCATTTAGATTTTTCTGAACGATAGCTCTAGTAGTGCTTACTTGTTTTTAACTTTATCTGAAACAATTTTGTTAGATTGTATTGTGACAGCTGTCATGTCAGTGTGCATTTTTAAAAAATTTACCAAAATTAGTGAATTTTTGTGTTGCCATTTTAATATTTAAGATAGAAGAAAATATTTAACAATTTGGGTGTATTATGTTTTATTATTTCAAGGAAGGTAAAAATGCAACTGAAATGCAAAAGAGAAATAAAAACACTTGTGCAGTATATGGAGATGGTGCTGTGAATGATTGAATGTGTCAAAAGTGGTTTGCAAAGTTTCTTGGTACTGTTGACATTTTGGCCAAATAAGCCTTTGCAGTGGGACTGTCTTGTGTATTGGAAGATGTTTCAAAGCATCCCTGGCCTCTACCCACTAGAAGCCAATAGCAGGAGATAGCTGAGATACTCAAAATATCCAAATCAATAAAGTTACTGGTGAAAATGAAAAATATGTCTTTTATTTTACAAAAAAAACCTAAATGGACTTTTTATCCACCCTGATATTTCTTTTCCATTCCTTCTTCCTACTGTCAAAAACGGATAATCGCACATGCACATACACAGAGGTGCTTACAAGGTATGTGACGGTTAGAGAACATAAGAAGGGAAGGAAAGAAGGAAAGGAACTAAAAATTCTTAATTGCCGTGTTTGAGAGCCTTCCCTAAATGTTCTCATTTAACTCTTACATTCACTGAGTGAAGTAGGCATTATTATTTCCACTTCACAGTTTAGAAAATGTGTCTCAAGAAGGTTCAGCTGCTTGGTCAAGGCCACACTAGAAGTGGGGGAGCTGGGATTCAAATGTAGGCCTAGATGGCTCCAAGGCCTGAGCTTTATATGCTCTTTAGGCCATCTTCCCATTGCAACACAGCCCCCCACCATCTTTCCCCATTCTCTCTGCCTCTGTCCTTCAAGTATCTACAAGAATCATAACAATGCTGATGTTTCTAAGTCCCAGATAGGGGAACAAGTGTTTCAAGTTCTGCTCTTGTAAAAAAAATGTCCTTTAACAGCTTGGGAAGAAGCTTAAAATATGTTAGGAAGGGAGTGAGCCTGGTGGCAGGAAGGTCAGTTATTGCAATAACTAAGGCAGAGAGCGTTGGTGAGTTGGACTCAGGTGGAGGTGGTGGAATGGAGAAGCAAGAAAAATTTTGAGGAACATTAAAAAGATAGAATCACCAGACTAATGAGTGAATGGATTGTGCAGGTGCCGATCAATCATTGTAGAATCATCTGGCTGTACCGAGAAGGCAAGACAAAAGAAAGGGAGACTGAATGGGCAGTGTCCGTAATCCTGGAAGAAGATGACAAGTGCTTATTAAATGAGGAAACTAGCCATGGAAGTGAGAGGAGGGATGGGTTTGAGAGATAATATGGAGGCAGAATCTGCTGGATGTGTTGACAAACTAGATGTGGGAATGTAAGGACAAAAGAGGGGTAAAAGTAGAGTCCAGAAATCTGTTATGGACAGTCTGATGCTTTTCACTGAGCTAGGGACACAGAAGGGGAAGCAGATTTCAGGTAAGGATGAATTCTGGTGAACCAAGTTTGAGGTGAACGTGCCAGCGGGTGCTGGCAGACAGCATACAACTGCATTTATAAGAAAACAAGCATCTCTTATCTAATGAGGTTCTTGCACCCTTCAGAGTTTATGGATGAACGTACTAGATACTATGTGTAGTAGGGTTCTGTGTCAAGTAATAAAAGGATTTTTTAGTTCTCAATGTTTTCACTTCATAGTGGTTAAACTCTCTCCAAAAGCCATTTATCACCCTGTAGGCACCTCCGTCATAACCAGGATGTCTATATTGAGCCTTCCAAAGCTAATAAGACATGGGTGATTCAATCAGCGACAGTGACTCATATAACCCATTGCAAGTGGAGCAGGGAAAGTTTAGTGGTTTTGAGGACCACACGACCTGCACACAAACATACACCCCCCAAAAAAACTCATGCTTATTTTCTTAGCACTTAGGACAGGCGCAAAGGCATGTTTGCACACTTCTGCCCCTCATAGCAGGACAGCCATTGTTTACACAAGGTGCCTGTCTGCCTGTCTGGACAGGAAGCTGGGGCCCCTTTGTCTCCTGCTGTGCTCTGAGGCAGAGGGGAAACAATTACGCCAGTTAATGAGCAAATAAAGGCTTTCAGGAGCGCTGCTTTTCTGCGCATCAGCTTTTGCCATGAGACCCTATAAGAGTTCTACCTGAAACACAAGGCCAATCTTTAGGAAGGCAGAAGGGGTAGGAGAGTCTCAACCCAAAGGGAACTACCTGTAGGTGCTTCACTAATGTGCTTGTTACACAACTCTTAGAACAGGCACTGAAACCAAGGTCGATTAGGTCTCCCGGCCCACCGAGAGAATCCGCGTCCAGCTGAGTGGGGCTCTGCTAATCCAGCCCAGGGCCTGCGGCCCACCAGGTGGATATCAGATGCCTGGGAACCAACTGACCTTCTCACCGCATGGAGTGTCCCTTGATCTGACTCCAGCTTTACCCAGAGATGCCCTAAAAAGTTCCCCTCAAATCAAACTTTCCTGAGTAAAAACCCACAAAATAAGAGCTTCCTTACCTGAGAGAGGGTCCTCGTGATGGGTAGTAGAAAAAACTCCAAGTTCTAACAGAAGCGACAGGGACTCACAGGACAAATCTGTTGATTTTAAAAGAAGAAAGGTGACTTCATGCTGGGTGCTGTGGAGTTGAAGAGAGCAACGAGTACTCCCTGGCTGAGCCAACTCTGCCTCAGCAGTGATGACTCCATCCAAATTATGCAGCAGCTGCCCAGACATGTTCAGCCTCCAGGAGGTAAATCTCTGGAATCTGACTAGCCCTGTTTTCAAAGAGCGTCAGAAAGTCCTGAAACACCAATCACCTTAATCAGCACTAGGGAGAGAAAACTATGTATTATTTCCCCAAGTCATATCATTGTCTCCCAAGAATCCAACTGTCCAGAAAACAGCTTCTAGGGGAAGAAAACAGGTACTTAAATTCCTGAGAGGTAAAAATTTTTCAGGAAGGAGGGTAGAGAAGAAGCAAAGGTATTTCATGAGTGGCATTAAGAAGCTGGAAATTATCAGCTTGCTAAGAAGTTTTCCAAACTGGTAGATTTATAAGCATACAAAGGTGACAAACAGGCAACAGCCTGTACTTTGCAGAGGAAGTTATTCAGTTAAGCAAAGGGGATGAGTCACTTTGTGGAAAGGAAGTGTGATAGCCTTTCTAGTGAAGACAACCAATTTTTCTTTTCTTTTTCTTTTTAATATGATACCACTCAACCAAATTAGAGTCATTTGTAACACTAATATATCAGAGCAAAACATGCTCACATTGCATCAAGAAGATTTGGGAAAAGAGGTGTTTAAGGAATTTCCTCTTTTGTATATGGAAGGTGAGGCTGGAACAATCAAATTTGTAACATGGGATTCAGGTTCAGGGCAAGCCGTCCAGGAGGCCAGGCACTTCTTCTTCATGCTGTCTGCTTGGGCTGCACTTTGGGCAAGACTTCTGGCTGTGGTGCCAGAGCAAGGAATGGTAATGATGTGACCTCTGTTGGAAGTGGGGCAGAGGGTTGAGCTTAGTAGCGCAGTGTCCTTCCCTTGCACCCCTACTTCAGGAGACTAAAGGGGGGTGCTTTGGGTCAGTAGGTATGAGCTAGCAAGTAGGCATGAGCAACAAAATAGCTCAGCAAGTTCAATTTCCTGCTGAACTATTTTGAGGCTTTGGGATCTTCTTGTGACAAGCTTCATTTCAGAGAAAGTAAAATAAGAAAATATCTCTTTCTGTGTAGACAGAGGTGCTCAGGTCCAACATCAGAAGGGTTTTTTGCAGTCAGAGATTTAAAAAATGTCAACAGGGCATGTAAAAGGAACTTGCAAGTCTTCTGGCCAGGGTGTAAATAATGAGAGAATTAGAAGAGGGTGGAGTTTCATCAATGGTAAGTCAATAAAAAGGCAGGAGCCATTTTTATCCACTTCATTATAGTTTCCTCAAAGCCCAGTATAGAGAGTAACACACAGTAGGTGCTTCTTAGGTAGAGAGTAAATAGTGGCAGACAGTCCCCTTCCAGTTTCAGATTTCTGGAACAGATGTGTTGAGTCACCATCTGGTAAACGAGGCAATTGCAGAGAGCATGAGCCAGTGGGTCTTATGGAATGCAAGAGGAACTTGGCCATTTGCTTTGTCCCAGGCTCCAGGTTCATTGCCAATGTTAGAACATGATGCAACACTGGCCTGCAGTGTCCGAGGCATTATGGATTTGATGAAATAAATTCACAGGGACTACCGAGTCCTGTGGAGAAAAACGGACAGCATGGCTTCTCTCTCAAGGGGAGAGTAAGCCTTGGAGTGTGTCGGCCACCCTCTCAAGAGGAGAGTGCCGGGACCCTTGCCTTGACAGGCTTTTTATTGGATTCAATTTGCACAGGAATACAGGGTGTATGCATAAAGCTCCTTAGTCATTATCAGGCAGTACTGATCAAACAATAGATAACATACAAAGAACTCTGAGGACCTATGTTGAGTCAGGGTCAGATAATTAATGGCCATAAAACTTCGGGGAACAAACTCACTTCCTGCTTGGACCCTTATCATATAATTGAGAGCATTCTAAACAAAGCAGGTTTCACAGGATTTTACATATTCTTTCTTAGGCCTGATCACCTTAGGGAACCTGCCCTTTCCAGCACATGGCTGCACTCACCAGTGGCATTGTTTCAGGCTTAAATCAGGCAGGGGAAGGAAGGCAGCCAGGAGATTAAGAGACATCTCAAAGACAGAATGAGGACTCAGGTTGTGTCAAAGCCAAAGGGTGAGGGTCCATCATCCCTTTTCTGTAGCCCCCAAGTCCTTCCCCCCGATGATCATGCCTGTTTTAGGTCATCGCTCCCTTGAGGAATCTAATCCGTCATTGGCTAACCGATCAAGCATTGGAGGCCAGGCAGGGTGAAGTAAAAGGAGCAGAAGCGGCACCCATGCCAGGAAGATAAGCTTTGTCTCCTTAGTGGCTAATGGTCCAAAGGTCACTCACTCAGCCTTAGCCATGGGCAGGTGGGGGACATGGGTTACAGCTCTTGAAACCAGGCAGGGCAGTTCCTAACAAAAACAGAAGAAAGAAAGTCAATTTCTGGACTTTTTGCCTACCCTGTTCCCTTATACATCAGCTAGACTCTAATCTTCAATTACCTTTTGTTCTCAACATTCTATCACATAATTTTCAAACTTAGAGATACATTGAATGAATTTTGCAGTGAACACCCATATACTCACCATGTAGTTTCTTCAATTAACATTTTACTATATTTGTTTTATTACATACTGATTCTCTGTCCATTCCTCTATTCATCCAGTGACTTATTTATTTTTGTTATTGTTTCAAGTAAGTTGCAGATATTAAAGATTCCCCAAGTACTTCAATGTTATTAACCAAAGTTCAATATTTATTTACAATTATTTTTTACAGTGTTCTTATCTCATTCCCCACTCCTACCAACCACGCACCAGAGTTTTAGTTGCTTTATATCCTTCTGATGTCATTTGGTGTAGTAGTTATTTCAACATCATTTGCTGAAAAGACTTTACTTTCCCATTTGGGTTGCTTTGACATCTTTGCCAAAAATAAAATGAATGTGTAAGTGTGGGCCTATTTCTGGGTCATTTACCCTGCTCTCTCACTCTGTTTGCTGATCTTGGGTCAACACCACCCTGCCTCGATTACTGTGGCTTAAAGCAGACCTGGAAGTCTATGACCTTGGCTTCTTTTTTTCAGGACTTCTCGAATATTCTAAGTTCTTTGCATTTCTATAGAAATTTTAGAATTAGCTTGTCAATTTTGATTTAAAAGCATACTAGAATTATGATTAGGATTGTACTGAATTCATAGATCAACTTAGGAATTGCCATCTTGACAACACTGAATCTTTCAATAGATTACCTTGGTATTTCTTTCCATTTATTTACATCTTTAATTTCTCTCAGCATTGGTGTGTTGATTTTCTTTCCGTCATTGATTTTTCTCTTTGTCATTGGTTTTCAGCACTTTGAGTATGATATACTAAGTATTTTTATTTCTGTTTTATTTGTCTTTGACATTAATCTTTCTTGGTGTTTATTGAGGTTTTGGTGTCTATAATATGTCTTTTACCAAATTTATAAACTTTTCACCCATTATTTATTTAAATATATTTCTGTATCATTCTTTCCTTTTTTCTGAGATATGTATGTACAGATATAGATACAGCTACAGAAATAGATATAGATATATCTACCTTTTGGTATCATTGCAAATATCTATAAGTCTGTACATTTATTAAATGTCTGTTCCTCAGTTTAGATCATTTCTGCCGAATTTCTAACTCACTGATTTTTCATCTTTGATCTCCCTTGTGTTTCTAAATACCTCAATTGAATTTTTATTTCAGCTATTTATTTTTTAGCTTTTATACTTTAACTTGGTTCTTTTTATTGTATATATTTATCTGCCATAATTTTCTATATTTTCATTCATTATGAACATATTACCCTTTATATACTTGAGCATAGATATAATAACTTATTTAAAATTCTTGTGTGTTAATTCCATCATTCAGGTCATCATAGAGCTGGTTTCTGTTGATTCTCTCTTCCATTTAAAATGAGTTATGTTTTCCTGTTTTGTTGTATACTAAATGATTTTGGAGTATGTCCTGGTTGTTGTGAATGATATATATATGTTGTAGAAAGTCTAGATTCTATTATGCAATTCTGAAGAGTATTGACTTTTCTTTATTCATGCCTTTGAAGTGGCTGAACTCAAACGGCAAAATCCTACTTCCCCTATAGCAGCTGAAATTTTAGTTCAGCTCTTTTAGCTGAGGCCAGGATTCTGTTTCTTGCTAGTCAGCTGGAGTTCTAGGCAGAGGTTATCCATGGAGCACAGGGCTTCCCCTCTACACTGCATATCACACAGCAGGCCCTGTTTTTAAACTAAAAGCTGTAAAACAGAAAACAGTCCATTCCAGTCTGTTCTTCCACTGGTTCTTTCTCCTCTGGTTTCTATTTTGGTTTTCTCTCCACTACCTGCAACCAGTTGTTCTCATATCTTGTCCAGAGTTTATAGCTGTTATGTATGACAGCTGTGGTCCAGCTGGAGCATGCTGGCCATCTCAGTGGGCTCCAGTCACTTTTCGGTCATGTATTCTACCTCCGACAAGATAATTCATAGTGCTTTCCTGGGATGTTAAATAGGTTTCATTTCGAGCACCACCTCAGAGTGATTGGTAATGTTGAAAAGAATACTGAGCTTCAACAGAAAAGGGTGACATAATCAATAAGCAATTATTTTATTATATATTGCTTTATCTCATATGTCTGCCTTGAATATGGGAGGGTCAGAGTAAGCCGGATATTTGCAACTTTTTGTTGTTATTTACAAAATTAATGTTAATACTAAGCAGTTTGTACCTGCTAGAACATCTCCTTGAAATCAGAGTACTGTATTTGCTTGTTTAATGGTTAATTTTCTCCATTAAATGTAAACTTCATGAGAGCTGGGATTATGCTTGTGACACTCACTCTCGTGTGTCCAGTGTCCCTCACATGGAACACAGGAGGCTCTCAGTAGATATCTGGTAACTGAATGAGAATACCGTCCTATCAGGACCCACCCCGACGAACTACAAGTTATCATTGGTGACTGACCCCTGGAAAAGCAGACAGTTTAGCAGACAAAAAGCACAGCAAACCTGATCCAGTTTAATTTTTGTTCTAGAGTAATGTTTTAAAATTACATAACCAATGTAGAGAAACAAATAGAACACAGATTAGCAAAAATAAAATAAATCAAATCACCCCGCTTTTTACCTCTCAGATATAAGCATTATTGTGATTTTTTCACATACCCTTTTGTTAGTCTTCAAAGTTTTATTTCTGACTTTGGGTGCATGTAAGAATTCTCTGCACAGCTTTGAAAAGTTGTAATGTTCATGTCATACCCAAGGCCAGCTAAGTCACATTCTCAGGGACCAAGACTCAGGCATTAGTATTTTTTTTTAATTCCCAAGGTGATGGCAATAGTTAGTTGACCCTTGAACCATGGGTTTGAACTGCTCTGGTCTACTTTTACACAGATCTTTTTTTCTTTTTTCAAGAAATACACCCAGCGTTTTCTTATCCACAGTTTCATAGCCGCAGATTCAACCAACCGTGGATGGACAACAATATTTTCACATTCCCAGCCACAGTTTTCCAACCTTGGATTCCCAACCTCGAATCAAAACATGCTTTTCACATTCGCAGCTGCATATCAAACATATTCTTTTGAGCCCGCGTATGGTTGAATCTGCTGTTCCAAAAGACCCATGATAGAGTCAAAAGTTATGCACAGAATCTATATAATTTTATTAACCATTGTCACCCCATTAAATTCAATAAAAAATTGCTTGTGGATTTCCACTGTGTGGGGTAGGAGCCCCTAATAATCAAGTTGATGAAGGGTCAACTGTAGACAGTCCAGAGGGCCTAAAAGGTGTCCCACCCAGGACTATAAGAGTTTTCTGATGTTATTTTTGATTTCCTCCATGACACAGCTCTTGCCCTCCAGGAGAATTCAGAGAAGATAGAGTTTGAAGTCATTACATATAAAACAAGTAGAAGTAAAAAACACACCAAACGTGTACAGTCAAGTACTAATCTGCATAGGAGCTGCAAGTTAAGTGTGCCAGGATAGATGTACCTGAGTGCAATCAAAGGTGGACTCACCTGGACTGCTTGCTCCTTGGCGGAGCCCTGCCTGTAGTACATGGAGTCTCCTCCCTCCAGGAAGGTTTTCTCTATCAGGTTGGGGAAAGGGGCACAGAATGACACATTAGATTGAGAGATGAAGCTGATTCTACTCCTCCCTTTTTTGAAAAATGTCTGCTTTATTGAAACCCCAGGTTCCTGGCCTCTGCTCTCTCCTTGTGATTTTAATGCTGCTTTTTAATCCTATACCTGACTGCAGAATTTGAGAAGATCACCCTCAACCAGAGAATTGCTGATGAATTGTGCCATTGCTGGCCTGGTGGCCAGCCTGGCTGGTGTGGGCATTAACATCTATCAGCACCCATTTCCCCAACTTTTCCCAGGGGAATTGATCAGCTACAAAGTGCTGAGCCTCGTTTTTCATCCAGGTGGCACAACAGAAGCTCCCAGGATGTTGTAAAATACCTGTTCTTAGGCCCTGCCCCAGCACAGTCAACTTAGAACCTCCGGGTGATGATGTTCAAGCACTGGTATTTTTGTCAAAGTGCCCCAGGAAATTAGGATATGACCCAGGGCGAGAACTATCAGTGAGGTAACTTGATGACCCATCCTCCTGGGCCGTGGGTGGATTTGATCCTCTCTTCCTGCTATTGGTGAAGGCAGCACAGAGCAAAGTACCAGGTATTATGATAAACAGGCTATGGTCTGAATCCCTGCTTTGCCATTTACTGGTTGTGCGACACTGGCTAAGTTACTGGACATCTTTGATATTCCATTTAGTTGACAGCAAAAGAGGCAAAATAATAGGACCTACCACTGAGACACAATGAGACACAAAGGCACTGGCTCACAGTGTGTATCTAACAAACGCCCTCTCCATTCCCTCTCTGCACCCCCCACTCCCACCCTACCTTAGCTTTCAGTAAGAGCTATGAGCCGCTCCAGCTTGTTTTTGTGCTTGTTCTCCTTGATCTGTCCATGACCGTGATATCAGCCTGGATTTGCTGCCCTGGTCCCTGGATCTGGCATTCTGATCTTAGCTTCTGAACTTCATCTGGCTCTTCTTTCCTGCCTTGCAGGTTCTGGGCCCAGTTTCCATCACCTGTTTCTGTTGCTCAGCTCTAAGCCCCACTGGGCCAGTTTCTAAAAGTAACCGGCCCCCTGTGGCTGCAGCCCCAGCTAAGTTTTAGCACCAGAAGGGGATGGGGCTAATTTTAGATTTGTCCTGAACTAACATCTGAGAGCAGGCTGTCTCGAGCATGCTCAGAGGCCGCCCCCAACTGGGTCCTTAAGAAGGGGTTGCATTATAGTGTTTCCTATAAGTCAGCCAGGTGACTGACTGTTCCACAGACTGCCCATGGAGCAACCCAGCACCAAGGAATAAACAAGAGTCACATGAGGTAACTATGCTATTCACTTAGCTTTTATTAAACACAAATTTACTCAAGGTAGAACATCAACATACATTAATATCCTACCCATACTCTAACAATCTAGGAGGAGCGTAACAAACAGCAGTCAGTGGGGGGAAACAAACTCGAGTCCCAGAGTCTCCGTCAGCGAGTCCCGGAGACAGCACCATAGACAGGGGAACCATCAGGATCTTGTAAGGCAGAATCTAGCGGAGCTGGATGGGCAGTGGAGCAAACAAAGTTCTTGGTCCAGCAGGGCAGAGCCTCCAGCAGCACAGCAGCCAGGAGACAAGCACAGTGTAGAGCAGCCCCCTGGTGTGTGGAGCTCAGCTGATTTGCAGCAGTCTGAGGTCTCCACTTCTTATACCCTTGAGGGTCATGTACTCCACTCTCTGAGTCCCTCAATAAATGTTTCAAGACCCTTGATAAGTCGTTGGGGATTTCCCGTCAGGCTTATCCCTGGCACTCCACCTCCACAGACGTGTCCGGGTCACATGTGCAGACATCCTGAACACTCCACTCTGCCAGGTGTGTCTGGCATGACTTAGGTAGTTTCCTACTTGAACCAGACTCTATTACACATGCTTTAAACATGGCTTCTTGGTTGGCAGGACTGATGCCATCTTAGTTCAGGGCTCTTCACACAGGCGAGGCCAGGAAAATCCAGCCTGCCCCCTTCGTATCTGGGTTGGAGTTTTCAGAGAAATGTTGAGGAGATTTTGCCACAGGGTTTGTGTGCCTCTGTCATGCCAGACACCTTATATGGAAACGTAATACATGAAACAATAAGCCTCAAAATCTATTTGGATATGAGCCTCAGGTGCTGTGCTGAGTGGGAGGAATAACAAGGTAAATCAGTGTTTGATATGCTAATACTTGTACTAAGCTGGAATGGGCTGTTAGCTAGCATCTATCCCAGGGACAGGACCAGGCAGGTGTGAGCAGGGTCCTGGGCCTGAGACCCTGCAGGGAAGAGGCTAATGAAAAGAAAAGATAGAAGAGGACATTGCTTTGTTTATCTTTTAGAGACACTAAGAGGAAATAAGATGGAGCAGTGCAGTGACAGAAAGCTCTACTTGAGAGAAGCAGGGATAACACAGCAGCTCCCAGGACAGCCTGGCCCAGAGTAGAGTTCGAATAACTGTTTGTTGCTGGAGAGTGAAATGAAAGGTTTCTACGGTGGGTGGGGTGCCCTGTGAGTATTTTGTGCTTTCAAGAGGAGAGCAACCAGCTCAGAGCAAACTGGGCATCACAAGCCTGTCCAGAGACCCACAGCATCAGAAGAAATTTTTGGCCCCTGGGTAGAGGGAAATTAGCACCTACAGACATAAATGAGACAAAGAGAAACAGTGAAAGCAGTAGGGGCTGTAGAGTGAGTCAAACTAGTTTCCTCATTCCAGCACTTAAAGCTGTGCGATCTTATGCAAATTAGTCAATTACTCTGAGCCACAGTTTCTCCATACATTTATTCAACATTCACTAACATATTTATTATACATTCACCAACAATTTATTGGCCATGTATTTTATGGGCTATAAACTTGGAAACTGTAGTGAACAATATTCTAGCCCATGTAGATGACAAAGGGGCCACTTACCTAACCTGACAAGCTCAGGGGAGGCTGCATGGTGGCCTCACAAATGCAGAGACCAGAAGTGAACACATAGGATAGTCTGAAATTAAAATTTCCTAACTAAAGGTGAGCCATGGTGGGTAGTCCTGTTTTAGCCTAGTATCTTCCTTGACAAAGGTCAATCTTTACCTTAACTGAGCCTGTCCATTGTCGTGTGTGTGTGTGTGTGTGTGTGTGTGTGTGTGTGTGTGTGTGTGTCTAAGATAACAGATAACATACCTTTGCAATGTGAGAATAACCCACTTTTGCCAAACCCTTCAGGGCACAATCTCCCACAGAGCAGGAGACACAGAGCCTCTCACTGTTATCTAGCTCTCCCACATACCATCTCCATGTGCTGTAAATGTTAACTGTAACTATCCTGTACCCACCAGTGTGAAAGAAGTATGTGTCTCTTCAGTTTACTTTTTAACCAGTCTCAGAGATTTCCTGCTTTGCTTTCTCTCGCTTCCCTAACCTATCACCAATGCATTTCATGTAACTCCCTTAAGTCCTCTCCTTTGATTCTAATGTATAAAATAAGGTGCAAAGCTGCTACTTTCCAGAGCATTTTCGTAATCCATTGATACTTTTGCTTCCTGGCAATTGTTGTCTGTTTGGCTCAAATAAATTCATAAAAATTCTCTGCACATTTGGATATTTCTTATGTTGGCACCAATATGCATTTAACAATCTGCCAGGAGACACAGACAAGAGAAAAAAATAAGATAAATTAGGTGATGGTTGAAGCTAACAGAATGAAATGATGGAGGGGCATTTGGACAGAAAAAGCTCCTGTGAGGAGGTATCATTGGGACTGAGTTCTGGATGGTGAGGAGAGAGTTCTGTAGATGAACACTCCAGGCAGAGGTAACAGCATGTGCAAAGACCTCAAAGAGCTTAACAGGTATGAAGAACAAAAGGGTGGCCAGTGTGGATGGGGGATGGTGAGTCAGAGTGTAACAGTGGAAAATTGTAATGGTGGGAAACTGTACCCACCCCACCATTCTTTTGACAGTGTTTCCATAAGTGCTGACTCTGGCTGACATGTAGCTTGTAGATGAACAGCATGTTTGTATAAGAATATTAAGAACTAACTTCAAAAACTACAGACCTCAACCTTCAGTCATCCCAGCTCTGGGAGACTTCCTGACCTTCATCGTGGGGCCAAGATGATGTGAATTCCAGGATGACTAGACTGGGATGACACACAGCAGACTGTCACCTGCCTTATCGGAATGGACTGCACTCATCTGCACGTAGAGAACTTTCCAACCCCCTCCCTTGATTTCTTTGTTTGGTTCCCCTCCCCCTCCTTATAAAAACCTCTGCCTCCAATGAGAGGTGGAGATGGGCTTTGTGACATGAGTGCCCCGTCTTCCAGATGGCCAGCATCTGCAAACAAACCACTTTCCTTTACATTAGTACCGGCTTCTCGAGTATTGGCATATGTAAATGTAGGCAGCTGGACCTGTGTTTCGCTTACAGAAGAAGATGGACTAAGAGGAGAGAGGAGACCGAGGCAGGAATGCGCAGGGCCTCGAGAAGGAGTCTGACTTTTGTAAGAGGAGATAACCCCCAACTCTTGGAGTGTGAGGACAGGCTGGTCAGGAGCTGCTCCTAAGAAGGACTTAAGCTGGGAGGGGACTCTGAGGCAGAAGAGGTGAAGTGCCTGTGACCTGGGAGCCAATGGGACATGAGGTCCTTGGAGAGCAGTGCAGGTGTTCAGCCCAGGGCTTCATAGGTGAGAACCTTTATAAGGGAAAAAAACATTTTCAATCTGGTCTAGGACCAAACCTTTTTGATTGATGTAATTCTAAATCTACTTCTGAGAAGAAATGAGCATTCCTACTAAAATGCTTAACTTGATCAATTTTCTGATCAGTTCAATGAATCAAGCTTTGTTCTGGGAATCTAACCACCCAACCCCCTACCTACTGTCAGTCAGTCAGTTGTCTTAGTGTTTAGTCAGTTGTTGAACCAAATGATCTTTCTTTTCTGTTCTTTTGGTATCTTATCTTAATAATAATCTAACCATTCTCTTTTCCTACAAAATGCCCCCTACCAGGAGAAAATCTTTGAATTGGCCTCATGGAGGCCTTTTAACTTACAGCAAGATTGTAATAAAGCATTGGCATGTGCTTTCAACTGGATTGTCTGAAAAGTTGTCTGTAACACCCCTGAGTGGGTGGCCAGTGCACAAGAGAAGCCTTCCTCAGGCTTGCTGTGAGCCCATAGCCCCCCTCCCCCGAGCCCTGCCTGTGCCCATGCTGTCCCTAGCACATTTGTGGGGGTTCTGCTAAAACCCGGGCCCTGCCAGTGGTTCAGTGAGGGGGAAGAGGAAGGCTTATGGGCTGGATTGTGTCTTTATTGTCACTCCCCCAGAAAAGATGCGGGAGTCCTAACCCTTTGGGTACCTCATAATAGATCTCACTTGAGGATAGGTTGTTTACAGAGGTAATCAAGTTAAAATAAGTTCATTAGGGCGGGCTCTAATCTAATTTGACTGGTGTCCTTATAAAGAGGGGAAGTTTGAAGGCAGACCCACACACAACAAGAATGTCATGTGAACATGAAAGCAGAGATTAGGGTAATGCTTCTGCAAGCTAAGGAACGCCAAAGATTCTCAGTAAATTACCAGGAGCTGAGGAGAAGCATGGCAGAACAGTCCTCACAGCCTGCAGCAGGAACCGACCCTACTGATACCTTAGTCTCAGACTTCCAGCCTCCAGAACTGTGAGACGACACACTTCTGTTGTTTGAGGCACCCAGACTGTGGTACTTCGCTATGGCAGCCCCTGCAAACTAATACAAGGGCTTTAAAGGGAATGTTATAAAACATGATCCTTAAAGCTCCTTCAGTATCCCCAGCATGGAGGAACACGGAATCTCCCACCCACCTGGTCCCAGCCCTCCACCTTGCTGGCTCTCTTTCTGTCTCCTCTCCCTGTGCTCCCCCATTTCCTCATTATTCCCTCACCTCCCTCTGAGAGAAAAGCAAATTTCTCATCTTGCATCAT